CCCTCTTCTGAACCCCAGTCCCTCTATCCCTCCATCACTGCCCCTCTTCTGAACCCCCGTCCCTCTATCACTGTCCCTCTTCTGAACCCCAGTCCCTCTATCCCTCCATCACTGCCCCTCTTCTGAACCCCAGTCCCTCTATCACTGCCCCTCTTCTGAACCCCAGTCCCTCTATCCCTCCATCGCTGCCCCTCTTCTGAACCCCAGTCCCTCTATCACTGCCCCTCTTCTGAACCCCAGTCCCTCTATCACTGTCCCTCTTCTGAACCCCAGTCCCTCTATCCCTCCATCACTGCCCCTCTTCTGAACCCCAATCCCTCTATCCCTCCATCACTGTCCCTCTTCTGAACCCATATCCCTCTATCCCTCCATCACTGTCCCTCTTCTGAACCCCAATCCCTCTATCACTGTCCAACTTCTGAACCCCAATCCCTCTATCCCTCCATCACTGTCCCTCTTCTGAACCCCAATCCCTCTATCACTGTCCAACTTCTGAACCCCAATCCCTCTATCCCTCCATCACTGTCCCTCTTCTGAACCCCAATCCCTCTATCACTGTCCAACTTCTGAACCCCAATCCCTCTATCCCTCCATCACTGTCCCTCTTCTGAACCCCAATCCCTCTATCACTGTCCAACTTCTGAACCCCAATCCCTCTATCCCTCCATCACTGTCCCTCTTCTGAACCCCAATCCTTTAAGCTCCTTTTCCTCCACAACTGTCCTTTTCTGGAACCCCTCAGTCCATCTTCTCTTTAGATTCTGATTGCTCTTCCAAGGTCCTAAAGGAAGCTGCCAAATGCCTGTTTTCCTTGTCTAACCCCATGTAAAATAATAAAGATTTCCGTCTCTGGGTTGAACCAAGAAAGCTTTGTCTTAAAGAGAACCTGTCATGGCCAGACTTGACAAAATGGTGCAATAGCATTTTTTTTTTATTGCCAAGTGGCTATTCCAGCCAATCCGATAGCTCTGGTCATATGTACATGGAAAGGACGCAGCATGCACGATGGGCACTGAACCATGACTATTATTTTAAAAAATGACCATGTGGGGGAACCATTGTACACATTGGAGGACCAGCAGGAAAATGGTCAATTGTTAAGGTGACAAGACCCCTCCTACCCCCCAAAAAACGTACTGGGACCCCCTTCTCTCTTCCTCCTTTCATAATAAGAATATAATATTACCTCCTCCTCACTGAGCTCACATCGTGCAGCTTCACAGCAGCAGCTGCTGCAAAGCAAAGGCAAGCCTCCAATAACTGTTCAGGGTTCCATATTTGGACTGCAACAAAATGGCGGCCTTCCTCCATTATAAAACTCTAGTCACTGTACGCTGGCGCGTCACCATGGTAACCAAGAAGCCGCCGGACACCTGTCAAATGAGTCTTTTTCTGCGCGTGCGTGTTGCCGTAGCAACCAGGAAGAGGCCGAGCGTCCTACCTGGATTGGTCTCTCCCCACTGAAGGGAAATGCTTCCTATCAAACACTAGAGGGCGAAAACTTCCCACAAAGCGTCTCTAAGAAGGAGAATGGCGGACATTTTGCCTGAGCCCAGAGTCTTGGGGGCTGAGGACGGCGTCCATTTTCTCGTAGCACAAACTTTAACTCACTGTCCCTTAAACGATTTAAATAACTAAAACTGTCCAGTAAGGTGTATCTTTGAATTGTGGTAATTTAAAGGGGATAAAAACGAGGCAATGTTAGAATTATGTGCCGTCAAATGGACATAACAGGGAGCGTAGCAGCCATTTTGTTGTAGCCCACAGGTTTGGTCAAGGAGGAGTTCTGTTGGTGCTGGAATCCTCCTGGTAGAGATGTGAGGCTGGAGAGTGTGTCCCCAGTAATGTGGAGGTATAAGACAAGGGGGCCCCAGCACTCTGTGGGTATGGTATGGAAAAGGTCATGTGACTGAGTAAGGTCACATGTTCTTTATCATAAAATGCAGTTTGCACTGTGTACAACAGTGCAACTGGTTGCCTGGTGGACTTAGTTTCGTTGCACCTTCATGTGCTCCTATTCTTGCACCCCTGGAAAGCGGGGGGGGGGCTGGGGCCACACACACCTTAGACTAGAAAAAGACTACAGCACCAAGCATCCCATTTCCCTCTTCAGAGGGTTTATCTGGGTCATGGTATAGCTAGTAGTAAAACGGAATCATGAAGACCACCATCAGGTCCACAATATGGACTGTATTCCCTGCGTAGAGATCAGTGCTTCAGCTGTCATGGTTGCCTCGTGTATGGACAGAGATGACTTCCTACTTTTTTTTTTAGAGCGTGGAGTTGAACGCCATGATGGAGAACTGGCCGCCCCTCACATCACCGGGTAAGAGGAGACTTTCATTTGAGTATTGAGGACCCACCTAGATACACACATCCTCTGATATAAAGACATAGAAACAATGTATTCAGTCAGTGTGTGTGTTTCCTACAGATGGATCCAGGAACAGAAATACCCCAGAGAGATGTCCTCGTCCTCTGTATTCCCGGGACTCCACACAGGAACATCAGGAGATCCCTCAGGCCCATCCTCTGTATTCCCGGGATTCCACACAGGAACATCAGGAGATCCCTCAGACCCGTCCTCTGTATTCCCGGGATTCCACACAGGAACATCAGGAGATCCCTCAGGTCCGTCCTCTGTATTCCCGGGATTCCACACAGGAACATCAGGAGATCCCTCAGGCCCGTCCTCTGTATTCCCGGGATTCCACACAGGAACATCATGACATCCCTCCGGAGGACCAGGTAGATGCAGCTGAGGGTCATGGCACTTAAAGAGGTGACTCTACATTATTGCTTTATCACTCCATTTATGGGAAGATCTCCCTAAATCACTCCGCTGTGCCCTATAGATATCGGCCATATTAAATCGTGACCAGACCAAGACCACTAAGGTATGATTTGTGCGGAGTCCAGTCTTCTGACATGATGATAGTAATGGAGAACAGACACAGTTAAGAAATAATTGAACTTTACTTATATTATCCTAATTGGGTTCAGCAAATACAAAATTGCTATTGGTGTTGAAAAGTAGCAATTCCGCACCTGACCAATCAGGGACCTCCATGGCTGTCCCACTTGTGACCCCTGAATTGATCTCCAGATGGCCTCTCAGATCCATTAGGAAGACTAACTATTCAAATCAATATTGAAATTATTGTAAGTAACTGAAGAGCCATAAATATGATAACATTGAGCAATGCTGGCTGAAGCTGTAGTAGTCCCCTAGCTCATGATAACATTGTGTAGGACATCGCACTGTTGATGAATAAATGGGTATTAGGTCTCGTTCACACCTAGGCGTATTGCATATGCACGTCTGTCGCGATTCGCGGTAAAAAGTTGCGCGACCGTCACACGTTTCCGAAGGCTACTTGGCTGTATCCCAATGGAAACGTGCAACAAAACGGCCCAAAGTAGTACCTGTACCTTTTCAGGCGTGGGCCGTTTTGTGGCGCGTTAGGGACGGGCGGAAATACGCCAAGGTGGGAACGAGACCCATTGAATACAATGGGATTTTCATGTTTGAGCGTTTTGTAGAGCGTTTTGTAGAGCGTTCGTCGAGCGTAGAACGCGCTACAAAACGTTCAGGTGTGAACGAGGGCTTAGAGGTAGATTACTATACTTGGAGACCTTCCATGTGCCGGACATCACACTGTTGATGAATGCTGTGTGGATCAATGATTTGATCCCCTGCAGATTGTGTAAGTTTTGCCCACTTACAAAGAAATGAAGGAGGGAAGGAGGTTCTCATTGAAGATTTTACAATACGTGGCCCCGTCTATTGGCCCCTCAATGCGGCAAGGTCGGCCTGTACCTTTAGCAGAGAAACAGCCCCAAAGCATAATGTTTCCACCTCCGTGCTGGACTGTAGGGACGGTGTTCTTAGGGTCATAGTCGGCATTTGTCTTCCTCCAAACACGGCGAGTCGAGTTCATGCCAAAGCTGAATTTTGGTCTCGTCTGACCGCAGCACTTTCTCCCAATCCTTCTCTGAATCATTTAGTTGTTCATTGGCAGACTTCAGACGGGCCTGTACATGGGCCTTCTTGAGGAGGGGGACGGGCCTGTACATGGGCCTTCCTAAGGAGGGGGACCTTGCGTGCGCTGCAGGATCTCAACCCATGGCGGCGTATTGTGTTACCAATGGTTTGTTTGGTGACTGTGGTCCCAACTGCCTTGAGATCATTCACAAGCTCCTCTTCCCGTGCAGTTCTGGGCTGATCCCTCACTTTTCTCATGACCATCCTTACCCCATGAGGTGAAATCCCACATGGAGCTCCAGACCGAGGGCAATTGATGGTTATTTTGTATTCCTTCCATTTGCCAATAATCTCTCCAACAGTTGTTTCCTTCTCACCGAGCTTCTTGCTGATAGTCTTGTAGCCCATTCCAGCCTTGTGCAGGTCTACAATCTTGTCCCTAACGTCCTCTGACAGCTCTTTGGTCTTGCCCATGGTGGTGAGGTGTGAATGGAAGAAAGAGATTCTGTGGACAGGTGTCTTTTATCTACATAACGAGTTGTCGTTAGGAGCTCCTTCTTAAAGTGACAGGACTCATCTGTGTACCACATAGCCAGTCTGTGGGAGGAGCCAGAATTATTGTTGGTTGGTAGGGGATGAAATATTTATTTTACTCCATTGATAAGATTTGTATCCTGTGTGTTTTCTGGATTGTTGGTTGATATTCTGTCTCTATCAGTTCAAATACACCGATGATAAAAAAAAAAAGATAAACCTTTCATTTCTTTGTAATCTGCAGGGGAGCAAATCCTTATTTTCCACACTGTAAATGGGTATTGGAGGTCGAGTACTATACTTGGATACGCTCCAGAAGCTGGACATCGCACTGTTTTAATACAAAGCAGTTCTCCTGTGATTCACTTCTAATATGGCTATTAGGCTCAAAATGAGTCCTACACTGGAGACTGGTGGTTGCAAAATGTTCACCTTACCAGTTCCTGTACGGCAAAATATAGTCTGCTATAGGTCTCTAATGAACCGCACCAAGAAGCAAGGTCCAGCGTAGTATGGACAGAGTCTCCGTGGATGTAACAAGATATTATTTAGTTGACATATATAATAGGATGTGTTGTATTGTTTTGTGTTCTTCAGGATACAGATTTGATCACTGTTAAAGTTGAAGTGAAGGACGAGGCAGAGGAAGTGTATGAGATGGATGATGATCTGTGTAAGGAGGAGGAACGTTCTCCAGAGGTCAGCACAGGTGAGGAATAAACACGAAGTCCAGAAAAGAGTCCCAGATTCTCCTTGTTCAGTCACTACAACAATCTCTTCTTCTCCCCTCCCCCTCCTCTGTCAGTAGATAGTAATGGGGGGACGGAATGTGTCTAGTGGGGGGAGTCAGGAGCCATCAGCCTCTATTAGACTCCGGCTCTCCTCCTCACATCATGTCATTGAGACGTGACCAGTCTTCCCCCCACACTCTCATACATCTCAGGGGGCTTCACTCTTACCTTTATTCACAGACCCCGAGGACACCGGCGACACTCAGAGAGACTTCAAAGACGAGGAAGAAGGACATGTGAGGATTAAAGAGGAGGACGTTCCTCAAGAGATGACCTCAGGTGAGTAATAAACACTAAATCCAGGGAAGAGTCCCAGGTTCTCCTTGTTCAGTCACTACATGTGGGCACTTGACCTTCACATGAACCCATATGGCCAAAGTATTTTGACACCCCTCCAAATTCTTGTGTTCAGGTGTTTCCAATGAAGAATACCATTAATGCTACAAAGACATATTAGACAAATGTAGGTCTCCAATACTGCGCCAACAATTTGTGGAAGGTCCCAGCTTGGTCTTCTCTCGTCAACAACAGTAGAGGACCTCACAAAAGCACTTTTGGCTGAATGGGCCAAAATTCCCACAGACACGGACTCCAAAATCTTGTGGAAAGCCTTACCGGAAGAGTGAAGATTGTTATTACTGGGAAGGAAGGGGGGGCAACTCCATAGTAGTTCCCATGGTTGTGGAATGGGATGTCCACCAAGCTTGTGTAGATGTGATGGTTAGATGTCCACAATTTTTTGGCCATTGGGTGTATTTGTTTCCTTTCGTTATTGTGGACTGATCATTCTGTTCTTTTCTAGATGGACAACCTATGAAGAGAAGATCTCTGGAGGTCATCTTTACGGAAGACGAGGACATCACGTCAAACTCTTCTGAAGATGAAGTCATCACCTTTAACCTTTATCCAGAAATCTCCATTGCAGACCTTTCATCCGATTCCCTTCCACACGGAGGGTGTTTTCCAGACCCCGCCCACCCGATTACCACCCAACATCTTCCAAGTACTCGCCCCAGGAGATTCCCGTGCACCGAGTGTGGGAAGCGCTTTACGGAGAAGGGGAAGCTGATCGTGCACCAGAGATCGCACACGGGAGAGAAGCCGTTTTCCTGCTCGGAGTGTGGAAAGTCCTTTGCTGAGAAAGGAATGCTCGTCAGGCATCGAAGGATTCACACGGGGGAGAAGCCCTATTCGTGTCCCGAGTGCGGCAAGCGTTTTGTCGAGAAGGGCCCCTTAATCCGCCACCAGAAATATCACACGGGGGAGAAGCCGCACTCTTGCTCTGAATGCGGAAAACGCTTCGCCCTGAAATCGACCCTCGTTTATCACCAGCGGACTCACACGGGAGAGAAGCCTTTTTCCTGCACCGTGTGCGGAAGGTGCTTCGTGCGCAAGCACGATGTCATCAGCCACCAGAGGACTCACACCGGCCAAAAGCCGTACTCGTGTTCGGAGTGCGGAAGATGTTTTGCGTTAAAGTCAACCCTCCTTTACCACGAGCGAACGCATTCGGGAGAGAAGCCATTTTCCTGCTCCGTGTGCGGTAGGTGCTTTATACGTAGGCAAGAAGTCATCATCCACGAAAGGACTCACAAAGGACAGAAGCCGTTTTACTGCCCCGATTGTGGGAAATGCTTCACCACGAGAAAATACCTTGTTAAGCATCAGCGCACCCACACGGACCAAAAACCGTATTCCTGTGTTGAGTGCGGCAAGCGATTCGCAGAGGCATCGAAGTTCCAGAAGCACGAGAAAACTCACAGGACGAAAAAGACGTTTCTGTGTTCCCACTGCGGCAGGAGCTTTCCGGATAAAGCCCGCTTAGATCAGCACGAAGTGACGCACAGAGACGAGAAGCCGCATTCGTGTTCGGAATGTGGCAAATCTTTCGCCTACCGGGCCTTTCTCGTCCGCCATCAAAGGCGGCACTCTGGAGAGAAGCCGTATTCATGTCACCAGTGCGGGAAATGTGTCACGACAAAGTCATCTCTCGTTAAGCATCAGCGCACGCACACAGACCAGAAGCCTTACTCCTGTTCTGAGTGCGGGAAGAGCTTTTCTCAGGCCTCAAAGGTCATTAGACATGAGAAAACTCACAGGGGGGACCAGCATGGCGGCAGCTCTCCAGACAAAGCCAGACTAGACCAGCAAGAATTATCGGACACAGCCGAAAAGCCGCACTCGTGTTCAGAGTGCGGGAAATCTTTCGCCTACAAGGCCTTTCTCATCCGGCATCAGAGAACTCACACGGGGGAAAAGCCTTACTCATGCCCTGTGTGCGGGAAAGGCTTTGCCCAAAAGTCAAATCTCGCCGTGCACGAAAGGACTCACACAGGGGTGAAGCCATTCTTATGTCCGCAGTGTGGAGAGAGTTTCGTGAGGAAGTCGAGACTTGTCGCTCATCAGTGCTTGCACGCGGAGGAAGCCGCTGGCCTTCCGGCCACCGAGCCACAGGGGCCGGAGTTTCAGACTGAAGTAGACATGCGAGATGAATGACATGCTGAGTAATGCAACATCGTAGTAAGGATTTTACAATTCCCCGCGGGTGAATAAAAGTATTTTTTTAATCTTTCGCACGACTAACTGCTATATATTGTATTGCCTATCTTTAACCTCTTGCCGTCCGCCCGTAGTAAAAAAACGGACGGACGGCACTGCAGCATCTGCGGGTTGCCGTCTCCAGACGGCAATTTTTTTCTGCTCGCGCGCGCCCCCAGTCAACTGGTTAAACTCAACTCCAAAACTGAAACACACGTCTTATCTGCCTTAAGATTTGTATGTCGGTCCGACCATTTTCATGAATCCTACACCTCGGGCCAGACAGCACCGCCAGGAGGATGACACCATTTCCTCCATTAGGGTGAAGGAACACAGCGGTGTCACAGGTTGTTAATTGTGTTAAGAAGATACAAAGTCTGCAAAATCCTTTTCTTGGAGTCTATGGAGGGACACAGGGATTCCGATACTGTGCTGCCTACAGGAGGATTGGACACAACAATTGTAGGCCAACCCTAGGACAGCCTCTCCTCAAGCAGTAACAAGAGCATGAAACAAACAGAAGGGGGTGGGACCCGTGTCCCATAGTACACTCCAAGAAAATGATTTCATCCTTTGAGTGACCCGGGAATTCAGATATTGTCGACACGCCCATAAGCAGTCCAACTGAGGGGTGGGCATACACAGCAACAACTGTTAGGCCAAACAAAACTGGGGGCTAACTGAAGGCCAAAAGCTGTCTGAAGATCCAACGCTGAAACCAAGGCCAAGTTCCTTACCAGAAGGAGGAACCTGCCGACATGACCCGAGGGAGGGCATGGAGAATCAACCTGAAGACCAGACCCGAGGGGGAATGACTTCCCATATAAGGGAACACTGATGGGTGTGAAGTTGAATAAAAACAGGTGGAAAAAGAACAAATTCCCATGTAGGGAAGACTTAAAACCTGATGTGATCAACTTAACGAGGGGGCCGCTAGATAGGGCTGTAGCGTTGACTTTGCCCAATGGCCAGCAGGTGTCGAAGACTGTGTTCTCCAATGAACGTTGGTGACGAACACTATCTTGTCTCATAGATGCTAGTACCTTCTCTCCCACCGTGATGGAAGGTTATATATGGGGTAGTTGTGGAAGACAATGCTGTTTCCATGGAAGGCTTCAGGTCCTGGTATCCAGGTAGTAGTCCGCCAAGGTAGGACGGGAACTGCCTTCTTAAAATGGAAGATATTCACCTTTTCACTTCAATGGCCAATACAGAAAACAGACTACCGAAGATAGAAGGCAAATAAATCTTTTACCAAGGCGTGGTATTTTAGGGAGCAGAGCTCCCGCCATCGAGGCTGGTGGCCTAACCAACCCTTCCTGTATCACCCAATGCCAACTATGCCTGAATTCTCAGGTTACCCTTTCTGTAACCGCAACCCTCCATCATATAAAACCCTTGTGTGCATATACACCCCTCCTGGTCCAGGATCCTCTGCCTCGAAAGATTTTCACACCGGGGCCCCCAAACTCACGTAACCAGTCATAAATCTAAGACTATTGGCAACCAGAGGTGGAAAAGTGAACAGTTGATGCCCCTATGATCTATTAAAGACTATTATAAGAGCTTAAAGCCCAACAGGCCCTGAGTCCTCCCTCTTGCCTGCTACACTGCACTGGATTACAGTTGTAGCCTTTGTTGTAAAAAAAAGAAATTCTGAAGATTTTTACAGGACTTGATGGTCCTCTTCTACCTCCGGTGGTGGTTGGATCCTCAATGCTGAGCCCAGGGTGGGGGGAAGGATGCGACACCCTGGGCCTACAGGAAGTGCATTGAATGACACTGGGCATCATTCAACCCGGTGTTCTATCGAAATCTCCAACTACATCACTACCGGGTACTAGTTGAGAGATTTCGACCAGACGGCGTTAGACTGGAAAACACAAAGACTGCCGGAGCTTCTGTACAGCTGCATCTTAACAATATTCAGCAGGTGGCAAACTCGACGAGTATTCTGAAAACGCTATGCGCGCATGCCCACCGCAACTATACACAGCTCCAGTCTTTCTGAACACCGGAAGTGAGGTAGTTGGAGATTTCGATGAGTTGGAGCTTTTCGATAGAACACCGGCAGTGGAGTGGTGCTGGATCCATGCACGGCGAGTTTGTTGCGGGAACACCGCCGGAGGGAAGGTCAGTATAACCCCGGAGCCGATTTTTTGTATTTCCAACTCTTTGAAGGAGCTTTTAATAAAAGATCACACATACAGAAGACATCAGAAACAAGTTTATCAATTTTCTAAATAAACTTTATTGTCCTTGTAATTGACAAAAGGCCCAATGTGTTACACAGCTCTGTACATCAAACCATGGGGATCATGTTGCCACTTCTTAAAACTTGTCCCTTCACAGGAAGAATGACTATGTTAGGGTAAGAGGTAACTGTTGGGGGAGGAGAAAGGGGGTGCATGCAAGTCAATACGTTGAAGATAATTTAGTGTTGGGTGGATACCAGAGAGACTTAAACCCAAACTCTAAAGGGGACTCGGAGAGATTTCTGCATGGAGTTCCTGAGTCTGCTTACTGGCTGTGGCCATTAGAAGGTGGTCCAATGCTCACGATTGAGTTTCAATGTATTATATACAGTATATGACCAAAATGTTGTGCACAGATAAACATCTATAAGAGCTTATTGAGCATCCTATTCCTAAACCAAGCGCATAAAATCAGGTACACAGCCATGCAATCCACATGGACAACCACCACAGCTCTATATGGTCAAATGATGTGTACACCACTCCAATGACGGAGTTCAGTGAAGTGTAATGTTACAGCTTACAAAGACATTGTGCTCTTCCAACCTTGGTGAAGGCCTTTTTCTTTTCCTGCATGACTTTGCCCTGAGTACAAAGTAGGGGTGCACCAATACTAGTATCGGTGCCGATACTGAGTATTTGGGCAAGTAAAAAGATCACACATACAGTAGACATCAGAAACAAGTTTATCAATTTTCTAAATAAACTTTATTGTCCTTGTAATTGACAAAAGGCCCAATGTGTTACACAGCTCTGTACATCAAACCATGGGGATCATGTTGCCACTTCTTAAAACTTGTCCCTTCACAGGAAGAATGACTATGTTAGGGTAAGAGGTAACTGTTGGGGGAGGAGAAAGGGGGTGCATGCAAGTCAATACGTTGAAGATAATTTAGTGTTGGGTGGATACCAGAGAGACTTAAACCCAAACTCTAAAGGGGACTCGGAGAGATTTCTGCATGGAGTTCCTGAGTCTGCTTACTGGCTGTGGCCATTAGAAGGTGGTCCACGTGGGCTCACGATTGAGTTTCAATGTATTATATACAGTATATGACCAAAATGTTGTGCACAGATAAACATCTATAAGAGCTTATTGAGCATCCTATTCCTAAACCAAGCGCATAAAATCAGGTACACAGCCATGCAATCCACATGGACAACCACCACAGCTCTATATGGTCAAATGATGTGTACACCACTCCAATGACGGAGTTCAGTGAAGTGTAATGTTACAGCTTACAAAGACATTGTGCTCTTCCAACCTTGGTGAAGGCCTTTTTCTTTTCCTGCATGACTTTGCCCTGAGTACAAAGTAGGGGTGCACCAATACTAGTATCGGTGCCGATACTGAGTATTTGGGCAAGTACTCGTACTCACCCAAATTCTCTGATACCTTCCATGATACCGGAACTTCCGGTCAGAGAAGATCTCCTCTGTCCCGCAATGCCGTAGGGGAACATGGAGCCAGCTTACTGTGCGATCAGAAAGCTGGGCAGCGAATAATGACCTGCCTCCCGGATTGGCTGGGAAGCTGGCTCCATGGTGATTGGCTGGGAAGCAGACTTCACAGCCAATCAACATCGAACTGGCCGAACAGCCATTCATTTCCCACCAACCGGCTTCCTGATTGCCCGGTTAGTAGCAGGCTCCCTGGCCAATCAGCATGGAGCAGAACAGCCATGCATTACCCACCGCCCGGGAAGCCTTCTCCATGCCAGAGGAAGCACCGGTATCGGCGAGTACCAAAAGCAAAGCATTGGTACTCGTATTACAAAGTCATCTCCATAAACACATGGTTTGAAGAGTTTTGGTGTGAAGGAGCTCGTGTGTCCGCACAGAGAACCAACCTCAATCCTACTGAACATCTTTGAGGTCAATTAGAATACTGCTTGTGAGCCAGGTCTTCTTCTCCAATACCAGTACCTGACCTCAACAAATGGCTATAAATTCCTAGACACCTCCAAAATCTTGTGGAAAGCCTCAGAAGAGTGAGAGAGTGGGAGAAAGGAGGGGACAACTTTACATGAATGGTCATGGTTTTGAAATGGGATGACCAACAAGCTCATCAAGTCCTGATGGTAAGATGTCCTCAAACTTTTGGGGATATAGTGTATACATTCTTCACCAACCAAACCAATCAAGGACAACATCTGCCAGTGCTGAGCAAACAGATCCGTTATGCAGAGTATAGCCAAAGGTTCGCTTAATTATCTTCCGCTTACACTCGCTATGCTTTGGTCACCATCCGGTAGAGGGGCCTGAGCAGCCGATCCTCAGACCCAACACTGTCACATGAGGCAAGGAGAGAGTCCTCAGCTTGGGGAGATAGTCCTCATCTCTGTGTAAGTGCCGACCAGCTTGTCTTGGTCTTATTCTCTTGACTGGAGCAAAGCAGGATGAGTAGAGCAGCAAGGGGATTCATTACGTGAGCCCTGATTAGATAGCAGCACCTCAGACTTGAAGAACAGGCTCATGGCATTGGCACTAGAGCTGTGCCAAGTCCAATAAAGAGGACTCGCATAGGGCACCAATGAGTGATTCTGGTGGTAAACGGTGGAAGTGACAAGTGTGGAAGACATCAGTTAGCGGGAGAGCATAGAGTTCAGCGCTCAATACCATCGGCAGTGATTCGTACGTCATCCTCCATAATTTGCTCAGGCAATGAAGAACACATTTCATCGGGGATATCGAGCATCTAACCTA